ATTTTTGTACTTTAGATTAATCTTAGTCGTAGTAGCTAGTTATTTTATTTTGGCAAAGATGTCTCAAGACGGCGTTTCGATGAAGACGAGCCAAGATGAAGGCCCTTGAAGATTTGAAGATTTCAAGGGGTCATGCTAGTTGCCAAATGCATCTATTTTCATGCTTTATATATATTGTTGTTATATATATATTTGAATGTTAGATGCATGACTAGGATTTCAAATGTTGCGATGATTAGTTAAGTTCACTTAAATCAACCAACATAGAAACCCTAGGTCCCTTAAAAAAATTGAGCTAAAATTTGCCATTCAAAGAACAAAACTTACCGAACTAATGCGCGTATGTGATGGGCTACGCCAAAGAGAGGAATCACTACTTCCCTAGGAACCTAAGGTATGCTAGGTATACAAGTTGTCTTGGTTAAGCTCAAAGATATCAGTAAGGAGTCCTTAGATGTCGTGGCAAAAGAGATAAAATGTCAAGGATGCATTAGATGCGATGTTTTATCAAACCGAGAGTAGCTTAGAGCTATTAGCAATTGGATTGCTTACCCTAAAATATCTAGTGTTAAGACAAGCCAAAGCATGCTTAATCACTTTTTGATTTTTGGGATCTCGGAATCATTTTATTCTCGCCTAAAGGGACAAATTTATTAATGCGTGGATAAAATGCTCAATAAGATTGAAAGTTTGCATGAACGCTTTTAAATTTCAAAGTTATTGGTTATATGAATGGTTTTTCATTTCAAATTCTTTCGATTGTAGAACAATGTCTGCAAGTAACTCAAACAACAACCAATTCTCTTTACGCTCAATTCTCGACAAGGAGAAGTTGAGCGGGCCAAACTTTCTTGATTGGCAAAGAAATCTGCGCATTGTACTAATGCAAGAGCAAAAGGAATACGTCCTTGATAAGGAAATGCCCGACACTCCCAATGAGGAGGTCACTCAGGCTGCCCTTAACCAATGGCAAAGTGCCAATCGGGATGTTAAATGCATCATGTTGGCCACTATGTCTCCGGACCTTCAAAAGACTTTCTTTGAAAAGGAGACGGCTTTTGAGATCATTTCTGAGCTTCAGAATATGTTTCAAGAGTAGGCCTGAACTGAAAGGTTCGAAACCCACAGGCAGATCCTTGAGAGCAAGCTCAAGAAAGGAGAGCCAGTCAGCTCACATGTCCTCAAAATGATTGGATTATTTGAGAACATGGAAAGGCTTGATGCTGGGTATTCAACCGAGATGGTAATTGACATCATTCTCCACTTGCTTCACAAAGGCTATGATTAGTTCAAGATGAACTATAATATGCATAGCATGGAGAAAACCCTCACTGAGCTTCATGGTATGTTAAGCAAGCCGAGCAAACCCTCAAGGATGAGGGCAAGCATGACATGCTCATGGTGAGGAAGGGCAAGCCATTCAAACTTCCGAGCAAGAAGAAGAGCTTTAAAGGGAAAAAGAGAAATTTTCTGCCTAAGTCAAACACTGCCAAGGGCAGCAAGGACAAGAAGGTAGCCTCTTCTAAGTCCGATTTCGAATGTTTCTACTACAAGAAGAAGGGACATTGGAAACGAGACTGCCTCAAATTCAAGGAAGATAAGAAGAACTGCACCGTTGCTTCTTCATCAGGTATTTTTGTTATAGACTTAAACTTCGCTAGCAAAACATCATGAGTATTAGATACCGGATGTGGCTCACACCTTTGTTCCAATGCTCAAGGACTAGGGATAAATAGGAGGCTAGAGAAGGGAGAGGTCGAGCTTTGGGTCGGCAATGGAGCAAGGATGTTTGGCGTCTCCGTTGGAACTCTCAGTTTGTCTTTGCCCTCTGGGCTTATTTTGGTACTTGACAATTGTTATCATGTTCCTAGAGTTACCAAAAACATTATTTCAATTTCGGCGTAGGAAGCCAAAGGTTTGAATTTCGAATTAAGAACAATAGTTGTTCATTTTATTTCGATAATGTTTTATATCACTAGTAGAAAAAATGAATAAAGCACCGCACTTTTCGCACCGATTCTTGAAAACCGGTGGTAAAAGAAAGGGGCGGAATTAGGGAAAAGACTTTTCCCACCGGTTTTAATCAAACCGGTGGGAAAGAAACGTTTCGCACCGGTTCGAACCGGTGCGAAAGCAATTGTTAAATAAAAAAAAAAACCGGTTGTTTCGGTTCGCTGGTGGTTGTGCGAGTTGGTTGGGTGGGTTCCTTGGTGGTCTTCTGGTCGGTGGTGGTCGTGCGAGTTAGTTGGGGTTTCGGTTTGTTGGAGGTGGTAAGGTGGTCGGCTGGTCGTTGGTGGACGTGCGATTTAGTTGGGTGGGTTTGTTGGTGGTCGCTGGTGACGTGGGGCTTTAATTGGTGGTGGTGCGAGTTGGTTGGGTGGCTTTTGGGTGGTTGTGGTGGGGTTTCAGATATTCATGGCGGTGAGAGGGTGGTTACAAGGTGGGTGCTGGTGGTGATTATTTTCTCTCTCATCCAATTGGTAAATCTCTATTGTTTTTGTCATATTGATTCTTTTTCTGGATTTTTCAATACAACACTACAAATTTAGCTCTACTTCATTCTCATACTCGAATTTCAATCTCTCCTTAATTGGTTGAATTTATTAATCTTTAATTGATGCCTGCTTATTTAAGTATGATTTTTTCTTCAATTCGGTTTGATTTCTACTAATTAAGTTATTTTTTCTGCGAGTTGAGATTAAGGGTTTTTAATTGTAAGGAAAATTTGGGATAATTCGAGATTTTAGCTAATTTTCTATTAGCTTTGTGTGTCACGATTGAGCATAGAATTGTTACTATATGACTTTGTGATAGTTCTTAATTAGGTAAAAATGGTGTTGTTTTTCAGGTTTCTGATATTGCATTTTGATCAGGTTTCTGATATATTTGATCAGAAATCTCTCTTTTTACCTCCCTCCCCCCTTGTATGTGTATGTGTGTGTGTGTGCATGATCTTTGTTGAACTGCTGTAAACTTGCATGCTCTATCATCCTTCCTGTCTATTTCATCATGCTCTATTTGATCAGAAACGTTTCTAGTCTTTCTCATTAGTGTGACTACGAGAAAGAGGATCTGAGCAAATTATCTAATACTCTTTTGTTCTTTCAGAAAAATTATGTGAAGAGAAACAACTAATGTCCACAGTTTAAAATACTGAAGATTGAAACATGACTGTTGACCTTACAACTTACAGGGTATGAATTGCTATCCTAGAAGCATCAATTTCTTTTAAATCTTGTCTACCTATCACTGGTCAAAGTTTTGATATTCAATTTTGCTGGAAATTTGTGATCTACTGCTGTTAAGTTAAGGAAGTCCTTTATGGTTGCTGAATTTGTTGGAATTGATGTTAGTTTGTCTAATTGTTTTCAAATGATATGATTTTATCCCTAATTTTGCTGTTTTTTTTTTATTTATTTTATTGAATTGTGTATTTGTGCCTAACTTACCATGTTTCACGCTAGGATTACAAAATTTTCTAGAGAATTTTCATTAATTTAGGATACAATTGCAATTTTGTTACAATATGTACTAGGAATTATAGTTTGTCAAAGATTTTTCATTCCGCAATCAAGTGCATGGTTTTGTAATTTGTTGACTGATCATAGAATCAGAGGCATGACTCCAAGTAGGGGCTTTTAAAGGTGACAATGGGGTCATTTTGTTATGTTTTGGGTCTGGTGACTTTAGTTTCAGATAGAATCAATCCCAACCTTAGTTTCAGGTTAGATAAATTTGGCACGAATCATCTAATTTTGGCTATGATTCAGATATCAGTCATCAAAATTAATTTTTTTTTTCTTCCCGTAATTATATACACTAGTAATTGGTAATTTGGTATATTGCACCATCCAGAAACTTGAAGTTTTAAAGTCAAATAAGGACGTCTTTGATAAAACCAAGATGCATGATACCGAGTTCTTGTTTTAAAAAAAATCTTCCGTTGGAGGCATGACTTGTACTAAACCATAGTTTGCACTTCATGGCCAACAATATAATTATAGATTGCCATGATTTTTTATGAATGATATTAACCACTGAGCCACATTGTCATAGGAGATGAGTTCAACTTCCTATAATAAAATTTGCATTTCCTTTTCAAATTTATAAGCTTTACTTATATAGTATATTTTTCTCATCCTAGAGTTGGCCTATTTAATATATAGTGGAGATTTCTCAATATCTAATGGACAAGTTTAGAATTGGAAATTAGTAAGATCCTAATATCCTACAAGTATAAAGTAATACTCCAAAATAATTTTGGCCATCCAAACTTCAGGTTACATCATCATGAAATCATGTTGGTATAGCCGTATGTGCAACTCTTATTCTTTGGTATTGTTTATTGTGTATTTGATGTATATTGAAATCTAGGACATCTATTATTTTGATATATTTTAATAATGTCAACTTAATGGCAGGCCACTATTGGGATTGACTTCTTGTCGAAAACCATGTATCTTGAAGACAACTCTGGTATGATACCGTCAAATGTCTTGTCAGTTAATGTATATTCATGTTAAAGCAGTAACAAACAAATTTCTTAAGCGCCCTGAACTCATTGCTTATAATAACAGAAAAATTTATCTCTAGATTTTCCATCTCATGACGATTTAATGATTTACCAATATAACTTGTTGTCTTGTAGACTTGATTTATATGATTCTGTCCCATGTTCTGAACCTTTAACTGCTAATTCCAGGTATACTGCTGGACAGGAAAGATTTCGGAGTCTTATTCCCAGTTACATCAGAGATTCTTCAGTTGTTGTTATCGTCTATGATGTTTCTAGTAAGTGCTTTGTATGCTAATGACTTCAACCTTGATCATTTTTACATGTTAATTCCTTGAGGACACATGAAAGTTTACCTATGATGTAATTTGTCTTGACTGAAGCTCTTATATTTCTACGTTTCCTTAATGCACAAGTACATGGGTGAAACCATGTACTAGTAATGTACAATTTCTGCTGAAGCTCTTATAGCATTTTCTCCTAATGATCCAGAAAAATTGAAAAAGGCGTTACCCTTGGCCCTAAATCTCCAAGACGATACAGAAAAAGTGTTAGTGGGATGTCTTTGTGGCTTGACGGCTTTAAGAGAAGTAATGTTGTTTCTACATCTGGTATACTTGAGTTTGCTTACAGGTTTGCTTTCCGAAATTTACTTAAGTTTTTAGTGACAATGTTAAAATTATTCCGTTGAGACATTAAAAATAAGGAATTGGCAATCCTCTTTATGTGATCATAGGGACAAAACCGAATTTGGTAGTGAAGATGAGAAATCTTATCAGTCCGATTAGTGCCATTTTTATAGATTGATCAATGGATTTTGTAAATGTTGCTAACAAATCAATTATGTTTCATAACTTGATGCTTGAATCTTGGTGTTAGATTTTATTACATATATGTTGCTGTTTTGATTCTTTGTAATTTACGTGAGAATCGTAAAAGGAGGTATTAATTGCTTTCTTATGGTAATAAATAATTGTCGTAGCAGACCTCATTACAGCTTATAATGTCATATTACTGTGTTTGGCTGGTGTCATTGCTTTGCTAAGAATGTATAATTCAAGTATAATTTACATCTTAATATGATTTTTGGTCTTAGTATCTCAAGTGCTCTCTTTCTCCACCCTCTTTGTCAATCTATCCTTGTTGGAGATTAATTTCTTGCAGATTCAAATCATGGTGAAACTACTGATATAAACAGTACTCTGATTGCACTTTACTTGATGACTATAAGAGTATAAGCTGGCTACTTCTTTTGCAGGGATTTGCAGAAGGCGACTCAGAATTTCACAACATTGGTTGGCCAGGGTGCATATGGTCCTGTGTACAAAGCTCAGATGTCAACTGGTGAAATAGTTGCTGTGAAGGTGCTGGCAACTGATTCAAAGCAAGGGGAGCGAGAATTTGAAACAGAGGTAATGTCATATTTTAATCAGTGCAGCTTCTTAGCGGCAATATAATCTATACCAAGGTTCATCCTTAGATGTCCTGTGTGGTAGACAAGTTGTTGTCTCTTTTTATGCTGTAGTTATTGTGCTGATTGATTCTTGATCTCACCTTCTTTTATTGCATGCTCTTGTTTCTCAGGTTAAGCTGTTAGGAAGTTTGCATCACAGGAACCTCTTGAATTTGCTTAGATATTGTACAGAGAAGGGAAAAAACATGCTTATAAATGCGTATATGAGCAATGGCAGCCTAGCTTCCCATTTATACTGTCAGACAGCATATGTTAGTGTTTATATGTCTAAAAATATATATGTTAGTGTTTATATGTCCATTTTGTTTTAGTTTTTTAAAGTGTAATATTACAAGTTATTGAGGCAAATATATGTGTTTTATGTATATTATGATTATATATAATTTGGTACAATTTAAGTGAAAAAAATGCAAAAAAAATTTTTTTTTTTAATTTTTTGGGGCACTTTTGCCACCGGGTCAGTGTGAAAACCGGTGGGAAATGTTATAGTTTTACCACCGGTTCACTTGAAAACCGGTGGGAAAAGTCCTCCAGCTATAAGATAAATCACATGTTTTTGCCACCGGTGATTAGGGGATTTTTATCCACCAAGCGCCGTTTGACAAGTGGACCAACCAGGTTCCGCCACGCGTCCTCCACGGACCACTTAAGACACGCCACGTGTCCACCCATGCCAAATGGGACAACCGGCCATCAAGGCCCATTTCAGTCTAGAAGCCCGTTCGGCCCTAGGTTTACCTTAAACCTAGAGAGTTGCACGCTTCCCAAGGCTATAAATACTCGATTAATCCTCATTAATCAGGGGACCGAATAATTTACGGAACACACTAATAACCGGCTGATCTCGCTAGCAAAGCAGATTACCTACATTAAATACTCTCACCTAGAGAGACCTTATTACTTTAATTTCTGTATTAATTACTCCTTAATCAGGTACTAACTTGACCGTTGGAGGCGGAGCTCTCAGGAGTCTCCGTTATTTTGCAGGTACAGGCGTCCGGTTCCAGTCTCGGAATTGTAACTCTCCCGCAGGACATCAGAAAACCCCGAAACATTTGGCGCCGTCTGTGGGGAGAGTACTTCAGAGATGGCATCCAAGTCTGTACCGACCCCAGAAGAGAGGCGTCCCCTAGACGACCCTCAAGTTCAGTCGGACCATGATACCGAAAGTGAATTTGAAGTTGAAACTCATACAGCTCCAGACGGGACCCTAAGGGCCCGCCGTACCCGTCATACTGAAATAAGGGAACGGGAGTATCTTCAAACAGGAAGCGAGCCAGCAGGCGCACCGCTTGCTCGGCAACAGCCGACTGATGGGTCTGCTCCGATCACAAGGAACGAACTCATGACCTTCATGAGGGGATTCAAGGGAGAGATCCAAGAGTTGATCAATAAAAAACCGCCTGCTTCAGTCAAAGAGCAGGCGGCCAAAAAACCTTCCACTTCACTGAAGAGGAAGCCAGTTCAAGGGCGAGAGGCGACTCCCCATCCTAAATCTAAGAAGCGGGAGCCGTCTGCTCTTGATTTCACAAAACTCCGTTATCCTACGGGAAATAGGAAACCGGTTCGTCATATTCAGGCGGACGGGTCAAGGCAAACGTTCACAGATGCTCGGCACCTGCTAGAGCAGAAGAAGAGTGACCGATTATCAGAGTCGGCTTCTACTTCAAATTTTCAGGACAGTTTGCGAAATGCCTCGATGAGGCCAACTCAGTCGTACCATGAGAGTCAGTCAGGCGGCACCTCCCGTCAGTCTGGCTTTCATAGTGCGCAGGCGGTACCAAATTTGCCATTTGTGCCGCAACAACAATATTTTATGCAGCCACCTCCATTTGGTGGACCTGCAGCAAAAAACGTCCAACCTATGGACTGGCAGCTACGGCTGCTTAGACTTGGTGAACAGCCGTCGGCCTTCTCCAAGGAAATTACTGAAGCCGCTCAGCCGGCCAAAGTAAAAAATGTTTTAGTAGGCGCCTATGATGGCACTACTAACCCGGAAGACCATCTGATGGCATTCACCAACCTGATGTACCTTCAAGGGTTGGATGATCCCACTTGGTGCAAGTGTTTCCCAGCAACTCTCAAGGGAATTGCACAGCAATGGTTCGGCAACCTGCCGACTGGTTGTGTAAACAGTTTCAGGACGCTTGCTTACTTATTTGCCTCCAACTTTGCAATGAACATCCCTGCGAAGAAAACGACCCTTGATTTGGGAACAATTCAGCAGGGTGAAAAGGAGGGGCTTCGTTCCTACATCAGGCGGTTCAACCTGATGAGAATACAGATTCAAGGGTTACCGGATGAGGTAGCTTATACTGACTTTTTTAGAGGTCTCAAAGACGGGTCTACCTTCAAATTTGATTTAGTTCGAAAAAGGGTGGCGACTCTTCAAGAGGCCTTGATTGAAGCAGAAGCCTATATACAGGCGACTGATCTGTGTACAATGAAACAGTCGGACGGGAAGAGGTTCGACAATAGAGAAGGACGACAGAAACAGTCGTCCAACAAAGATGAAAAAAGAAAAGGGGTCTGGGCGGCTGATTCCTCTAAACAGCCGGCCAAGAAGAAAAAGGAATTCAAACCATACTCCCCAAAGTATGTGTTTAACAAGGATAACCAGTTTATCCTAAAAGAAATAAAGGGACGGCTCTCAATTGAGAAACCGCTCCCCATGAAGGGTTCTGCGAGCAACCAGAACCAAGACAAAATCTGTGCTTATCATGATGACATTGGTCATCACACCAACGACTGCATTAGTCTCATGCGGTACCTAGACCGCTTGGCTGATCAAGGTGATCTTGACACTTATGTCAAGAAATCTACGGGGAATACTTTCTCAAAAAAGCAGTCGGCCAAAAAGAATCAACAGGCCGACAGTTCCGATACAGATGATGCAGTCGTCTACACCATTGCAGGCGGCTTCTCAGGAGGCGGCCCCACTATTAGGGGCAACAAAGATAATATAAGGCGGTTAGATGTAAATTCCGTTCACCAAGAACGACCGTCCAAATATACATTTCCTGAGATTGTCATCACTGAAGAGGATCTAGGAGGAATAAGGGGGCCGCATGACGACCCTCTCGTTATTGAATGTAAAGTGGCCAACCAGAGAGTTGGTCGAATCCTCATAGATACTGGGAGCTCTTCAGATCTCATCAGCAGCAAATGTCTGTCAAAACTGAAATATCAGACGGACTGCATACATCCGGCCTCCCACCCTTTAATAGGGTTTGGAGGAGGAGTCGTCCACCCACTGGGACGAGTTGATCTACCCGTCCGCCTGGGCGAAAAAGGGGAAGGACGACACATGGTAGTCCGATTCCTAGTTGTAGAGGAACTCTCTGCCTACAACATGATTCTGGGTCGCCCAACCCTGAATAGTGCCAAGGCTGTTATAATCCCGTCACTTATGCTGCTTAAGTTTGAAAGGGACAATGGAACAGTCGGCTCCCTAAGGGGAGATCAGAGGATTGCCCGAGAGTGCTATCTCTCGGATGTCAAACCCACTGCTAAGGCCACTGGGTCAAGTGGAGAAAAAACAGACCTTGACAATGTCAAGGAAAGTGCGCCTGTTCAAGAAACAGGCGACAGAAAAAGAAAGGCGTCCCAGACAGAGTCCGCCAGAAAGGCAAGAAAATAGCAATCATTGGCAGAGGACCGGCCGGATGAGTTCCGCCCTCAGCCGGCTGGTGAGCATACGGACCTGATATTAGACGACTCCCGCCCTGACCGAACAGTCAAAGTTGGGACGACTGCTCTGAGAAACCTTGGTGCTGACTTTCACAACCTGTTGAAAGAATACAAGGACATCTTTGCATTTGAAGTCCATGAAATGCCAGGCATTAGTCCTGATCTGGCAGTACACAAACTCGCTGTGGATCCGAAAAAGAAGCCGGTACGGCAAAAGAAGCGGAACCATGGTGAAGAAAGAGGTCAGGCGGCCGCCGCCGAAGTCAAAAAATTACTTGATGCAGGGTTCATTCGGCAATGTTACTTCCCAGATTGGGTTGCAAATGTGGTACTTGTTAAAAAGCCGAATGGCACCTGGCGAATGTGTGTAGACTACACAGACTTGAACAAGGCGTGCCCCAAAGACAGTTATCCTCTGCCCAAAATTGATAACCTGGTCGACTCAACAGCCGGCCATGCCTTGATGAGTTTTATGGACGCCTATTCTGGTTTTCATCAAATTCCTTTGTGGAAGAAAGATCAGGAGAAGACGGCCTTCGTCACTGATCAGGGATTATACTGTTATACGGTCATGCCGTTTGGTCTTAAGAATGCCCCGGCTACATTCCAACGAATGATAAACACAGTGTTCTTTGATCAGATTGGGAGAAACGTCGAGGCATACATTGATGATATGATTGTTAAGACTAAACTTCAGAAAGATCATCTGACGGACCTCCGAGAAACTTTCGCCACACTCAGGCGGCACCATGTCATGCTCAATCCCAAGAAATGTGTATTTGGAGTTGAGTCTGGGAAATTTCTCGGATTCCTTATCAACCAGAGAGGAATAGAGGCGAACCCTGAGAAGGTACAGGCGGTCATTGACATGCAGTCGCCTCGTACCGTCCGAGAGGTTCAGAAGTTAACAGGTTGTCTGGCGGCCTTGGGAAGATTTCTAAGCCGATCAGGCGACAAATGCCTATACTTTTTCCAGGCAATTAAGAAAAAGGCAAGGTTTGAATGGGGGCCGGATGCTGAGGCCGCCTTCCAGAAATTAAAGGTTCACTTGCATTCCTTGCCAAGGCTGGTCAGCCCTTTGCCCAAAGAAAATCTCTACATGTACCTGGCCGTCTCTGATCATGCGTTAAGCGCGGTGCTCCTTGCTGAAAGGGACGGCTGTCAACTTCCGGTCTACTTTGTCAGTCACGTACTGAAAAATGCCGAGTTGAGGTATCCCCTAGTGGAGAAATTTGGTCTTGCACTCTTCATGGCTGTTAAAAAATTGAAGCCCTACTTTCTGGCACATGCAGTCGTCGTGTATACCGACCAACCGATCAAACGGCCCCTTACCACCATGGAGTCCTCCGGACGAATGATCAAATGGGCCATAGAAATGCAGAGTCTCGAAGTTACTTTCGAGCCTAGAAAAGCAGTGAAGGGGCAAGCCTTTGCTGACTTTATTGTAGAGATGACTCGTCCTCCTGACTCTCAAGTTCCAGACCAAGTCTGGAAGGTATATGTGGACGGAAGCTCTACTTCAAACGGTTGTGGAGCAGGCGTCGTATGTCAATCTCCAGAGGGCGACAGGTTCGAGTATGCTCTACGCTTCAGTTTCCAGGCT